ACTTCATCCACAAAGGCGGTGGAGTTGTGATTGGTTGTGGTCTGGTTTTGAGAAACCGTGCAAGTTTCTCAAAATTGTATTTTCATTCATTGAAAGAAATTAATCTGCGAATTAGTTAATGCTAGAGACTTGTATTGCGAGTTGGCGTGAGTGTAAATCGTTTGGCACAATGAAGCAAAGGACAGAGCTTGGTCGAGGAGCGAAGAAGAAATACAATCCGGAATGTGATTGGTTGTGGTCTGTTTTTGATAAACCAAATGAGTTTCCTGTGCTGTATGTCAGGGTATATCAAGTGTTGCAATGGTGCAAACAACATAGCTGGGTGGGTGAAGGAAAGGGTATAATTAAGCACTTTTATGATTGGGGTGAGGCTGAGATAAGTGGTGGGCTAAGTCTAAAAGCTGACGATTAACATGTTAAACATTTTTTACGCCTTATCATGGTGGTGGGGTTTGTCATTGTGGTGGGGTTTGTTTTTTACAATGACCCTCAGAGCATTGTCGCCTGGAGTATTGTACTCCTGGTAGGGTCTCCCTTGGAAAACAGGTCTGGAGGAGGTTCCAGACAAATAACGGTCCAAATAATAAAAATGTCCGTCATTAATGGTAAAAAAATACAAAAATCAGAAAACCTCACCCAGACAAGGTATAACGGGCCTCCCCCCTGAAGCCAATCCTGGGGTTGGTGTTAGCCGGCAAGTAACCTGGTCGAGCCAAGCCCCATATGGCTACATGGCGACATCCTGTGGGCGCACCATCTGCAGGATGAAGGGTGAGGGGCGGGTGTGATGCCAGTAAGGCAGGGAGAGGGATGGTCTCAGACGAACTGGACCTTGGCGATGGACACTCGCTATTGAGACGTGAAATATCACATCACTGGGGGGAAGGAGCCAGAGCTGGTGGAGAAGGTGTAAAGAAACCAACTAGATTCCATCGGTTTCACCTCCACACACAGCATTGGTACTGAAACCAAACTTCCCAACCGTGGGTGGTCTCTCTTTCCAGAGCAACCCCTGGTGAGAGGCCCCCAGCGGGTGAGGGGATACTTACAAACCGGGTGCGTTTCAGTTGGAGTTTGTCCCAGTGCATGAGAGGGTCGTCACATTGAGACTTTGGGTCTCAGCAAGGAAAACTCTGACTGTTGTCTGTACTTATGCACCAAAGAGCAATTCAGAGTATTTGGCCTTCTTGGAGACCGTGGGTGCAATGCACGACAGAGCGCCGCCTACCGACTCCTTGTTCTTACTGGGGAACTTCAATGCTTGGGAAATGATGGAGATACCTGGAAAGGCGTGCCTGGAAGAAATGGCCATCCTGATCTAAACCTGAATGGTGAGTTGTTATTGGAATTATGTGCTAGTCACGGAATGTCAATAACAAACACCATGTATGAACACAAGGATGCTCCTAAGTGTACTTGGTACCAGAGCACCTTGGGCTGAGGGTCAATGATTGACTTTATAGTTGTATAATTGGACCTAAGGCCATATGTTCTGGACGGTCAGGTGAATAGATGGGCAGAGCTGTCATTTTGATCACAACCTGGTGATAAATTGGATCCAATGCTTGGGGCACTAACCAGATAGACATCGAAGGCCCAAATGATGAGTGCGGATTGTCTGGGAACATTTGGCAGAAGACTTGATTGAGAGGTACCGGCTTGCAAAGAGGGTGGTAGCAGTCGCAGTTAATGAAGTGAAAGGCTAAATGTGGGAGGAGTTTGGAGAGGCCATGGAGAGGGACTCTTGGGCAGCCTCAAAGATGTTCTTGCAAACCATCTGACACCTTTGCAAGGGTTGATGGACGTGGCCCAGACTCTTTTCAGTAAGGGTGGCGTAACATTTACCTGAACTAAGAAGATGGTCGAGAGGTAGAGGAACACTTTGAGGAGCCCCTCAACCCGGTGGACATGCACTCCTCTCAGATCCATCATGAAGGAATCACACTCCTCAGCATCCCAGGTAAAGCCTTTGCCAGAGTGCTGGAAAGGTAGTCCAGCCTTAAATTCAAGAGGAACACTGTGGATTCTGTCATGGTCGTGGAACAATGGACCAGCTCTTTTTCCTCTCACATATATTTGAGGGGTCATGGGAGTATGCTTCTCCAGTTTACTTCTGCTTTGTAAGCTTGCAGAAAGCACCTGACCATGTTCCCCGCAATGTCTTGTGGGAGGGGCTGGGGAAGTATGATGTACCAGTGCAGCTTTTGTGCATTATCTGGTCCCTTTATTCCCGGAGTGAGAGTTGTGTCTGTATTCTTGGTGTTAAATCAAAGTCGTTCACTGTGGGTGTTAGACTCTGCCAAGCGTGCTTCTTGTCTCCACTCCTGTTTGTGATTTTGATGGACAGGATATCATGGTGCAGCAGAGGTATGGAAGGTATCCAGTACAGACACATGGACATGGCGTTGCTGCTTTTTTCAGATGATGTTGTCCTCTTTGCCTCGTCAGTCTGTGATTTCCAGTGTGCACTTGAACTAGTTGATGCCGAGTGTGACGCGGTTGGGATGAGGATCAGCACCTCCAAATCTGAGGTCATGGTTCACTCCCGGAAGATAGTGGATTGTTCTCTCCAGGTGATGGGGGAACAGCTGCCCTTAGTCGAAGAGTTTAAGTACCTCGGGGTCTCTTTCACGAGTGATGGTAAGTGGGAGAGGGAGATCGGAAGGCGGATTGGTGCAGCATCTGCAGTGTTGCGGGCACCTTACCATTCTGTGGTAGTGAAGCAGAAGCTGAGTTCTCAAACAAAGCTCACGGTTTACAGGTCAATCTACATTCCCACCCTCACCTATGGTCATAAGCTTTCGCTAATGACAGAAAGGATGATATCACGGGTATAAGGGGCCAAAATTAGGTTTCTCAGCAGAGTTGCCAGGCTCCCTCTCCATGATCGGGTGAAGAGCTCGGTAATCCGGGAGAGCCTCAGAGTCGAGTCGCTGCTCCTCTGGATCGAGGTGAGGCAGTTGAGGTGATTCAGGCACCTGGTAAGGATGCCTCCCAATAGATTCCCCCTGGAACTCTACCGGGCACGTCCCACTGGGCGAAGCCCCAGTGGCCAGCCTAGGACATGCTGTCAGGACTATGTCGCTCGGCTGACCTGGGAATGCCTGAGAATTCTCCAGGAAGAGTTAGAGTCTATTGCCAGGGCAAGGGAGGTCTGGACTGCCCTACTCAACATGCTGCCGCCACAACCCTCACCAGAACAAGGAGAATGATAAACGAACATCTTTACGTGCATATGCCTAAATATATGTGCTTGTTTGTGTCCAGGAACGAACGGTTCAGATGTCAGTAGCAAGTCACGGACAGCAGTTCACATCAAGTAGCCGAGTTAAGTTCAGTTTGTTTGGGTTTAAACAAACAAACACATTTCTCTATGTAGCAGCTCATTCGTTTTAGTGCCATGAATCTATTGTCATAGACTAATAGTGAGAGCTAGCGTGAGCATAAACCGTTTGCTACAACGAACCAGTGTGCAAAGCTTGGTCGAGGAGCGAAATTAAATAAAATCCGAAGTGTGATTGGTTGTGCTCTGATTTTGAGAAACCAAACGAGTTTCTCCATATTTTATCCCATTCCTTGTCACGCACGAGTCTGCAAGTTGTTTAATGTCAAAGATTCTAGATTTGAAGCTTTCGTGACTGCAATGATTCATACTCTTTGTTTTTAATGGTAAAGTCACGTAGGTAAAATAATTAATAAAATAAATGAAAACAACTAAATTAAATTACGACGTTTCGGAGGCAACACAAGCCTCCCTCATCAGGTGAAAAAAGGCACAGCCTTAATTTAGTTGTTTTCATTTATTTCATTTTATTAATTGTTTTACCTATGTGACTTTACTGAAAAAACCAAAGAGTATAATGTCAAAGATGTGTGTCCTATACTATGTGGCAGGGTATATAAAGTGTTGCAATGGTACAAAGTACACAGCTGGCTCAGGGATGAAAAGGGTAATAAAGCAATATGATGGGTGCAAGGCCGAGATGAGGCTGTAAGTGGAGATCTTTGTCTACAAGCTGACTGATTGATGCGTTCAACCTCTTAAACTGCTGATGACTCAATGTGTGCTTGTTTGTGTACAGGAAAGACTGGTTCAGATATCAGGAGCAAGTCATGATCAGCAGTTCACATCAGGTAGCTGGGTGAAGTTCAGTTTGTTTGGATTTAAAGAACCAAAGGTATTTTTCTATGTAGCAACCCATTAGTTATCGTATGCGAGTATGATCATTCTTGGATGCCATGGGCCATTATTCTGTGCGGGGTGTCAGGGTTATTCATTTGTCAGATGTTACAAAGTACAGAGGTTGGCCTATGAGGTCAGCTAAGGAAGGGACATATAATCAGTTGAATTACCGGGGTGTAGGGGCGATAACGTTGTGACTTTGCTGCGGTATAATTTGTCACATGTTGATTGAAAAATCTCAGGACATGAGCAATTGTCATGATATCAACTTCCCCTAACTTTGCACATTTGGTGTGCTGCATTTTGCGTAAACATCGTCTTGTTTTTTGTGTTTTGATGAACTTCAGGTTCGCTTAAATATTATTTTGGAGTTCTTAAACTGCTCTTAATTCAAAATTAACCTGCCTTATGTCGTCTGACCATTGTCTATTGACAGTCCCCAATGCTTGTAAAGCACATGCTGTTAGACAATGATGATGTTGCATAACCAGCACGTCGTCAATATAGGATAGCGATAATTGAACTGGTCGCGAGTCCTCTCCTTCCCCTGCACCTCTGATTTGCACGTTTGGCTATTCATGGTGTGAAAGATGTTCAACATACATACATTCACCAACCTGGCCGGCCTGTGGGACAAACCATTATCGCTGTGTCCCTAGCTGATGCTGCTGCTGGGTTTTGTTTGTACAAATATTACGTCACTTGAGACCGGTCAAAGCTATGTATGTTTGTTGAACTTCTTCCACAACGTACTTAGCCAACAATGCTAATCGGAAGTGCAGGGGAAGGACAACAAACTAAACACAAAACGCAGTTTGAGCTAACACAGTGCGTGACTGTAACGCCACGTCTACACAGGTGAGCCCGGCAGCCTTGTGGAACATTACAGGGCGTGTCTCGAGATATTTATAACTTAACTGCAGGTGAAGTCAAATTCATTTCGTTGTTCGTCTCCGCGGGTTGAGCTGCTCACACCGCGTCTCCTGAACAGAACACACCTCGTCAATGGTAATAAACATCTCACGATATTATTAAGATAAATAGTTTTGTTGAAATATATTTTCTGAGCCACACGAAGAAACTACTTTGGATGCATCCTCGGGTAATGTCAAGTGCAGCTACCTCTGAGAACATGGACCGTGAGTTGATCTGCTCCATCTGCCTGGACACGTTTGACTGCCCCTCCACGTTGAGCTGCGGCCACTCGTTCTGCCTCCATTGCTTGGAGGACGCCTGGAAGGAGACAGACTCCTACTGCTGCCCGCAGTGCCGCAAGACCTTCCCTCGACGACCCCAGCTGACCAGGAACGTGACAATCGCCAACCTCATAGAGCAGCTGCGAGTGACTGAGACCATGGCTGCTATTGCTGCTGATAGTGTTGTTTTCTGTGACAACTGCCCAAAAGGCAAGACGCTTGCAGTGAAGACCTGCCTCAGGTGTGAGACGTCCTTTTGCAGGGAACACCTCGTGCCTCACCTGGAAAATACGAAGTTTAAAGATCACGTCCTGGTTTCACCAGACGTGAACCCTGAAGAACGCAAGTGCAAGAGGCACAACGAGGAGCTCAAGTTATACTGCAAGCAAGACCTCAGCCTCGTTTGCAGGGATTGCACCATCGCAGGAGACCACGCGGGTCATAAGTTCATCACACTGGAGGATGAGCATCAGATACGGAAGGTGAGGCCCGCGTAGGTTGAGTTGGAGTCACTCAGGAGCGAACAATACCATGACCTGAGCCCATAAAGTGCTACGACATTTAATTAAATCAAAACCATAATGGTGGGATGATTCTCTCTCCACGCTCTTTTTTCTTTCAAGCTGACTTCCGCGGACTCTTTTCTGGTGGGCAGTTATAGAACGATCACTGTGGAGGGCTCCGTGTGGAGTGGGGCTGAGAGGGAGCCACATAGGAATTTGAGTCTCCTTTGGGGCCTCGTCTCTTACAGAATGGAGTCGGAGCAGAGACGCGAGCGGTGGAGGAGAAGATGAAGAAGGCAGAGACGTCCGTGGGACGGATGAAGGCCACTCGCAAGGCCGTGCAGGTACCCTGTTACCTCCACCCTGCGTGGAGTCTGTGACTCTCTCCTTGTGAGGACAATTCCGTAGATTCAAGTAAATTTTGATAGTCTTGAGTCAGTGTGTAATAACTGTGCAGGATATTGCATAATTATGGCTATGGGTGCTTGAAATATAAGTGAGAAAACACATTAAACGTGTATATATGTAAAAAAACGTTCATATCTCGTGAGACTGCACAGCACTTCACAGGTTAACTCGAATGACTTGCAATGAGAGAGAAAATAACACAGTATGGAGCAACGACTGCATTGAATTATAAACTAGGAATTAAACGAGTTAAGATGAAATGAAAATGAATCAGCTGATAAAGGCTAGAATAAACACGCAAAAACAATTTTGCTCTCATGAGACGCACCCAACTATCAAGCAGACATAACATAGAGTCTGACTTTCAAACATTTTAAATATATTTTTCACGAATAGTGATGTAAACGTGATTACATCTTAGTGACGTACATTTTATTGGAAAGTATAATTACGTAAATGTATCTACTTGTGATATGTCTTCAACGAAATTGCTATGAGCCTGTTTGTGCATTCGCATACAGAAGTATCCATTGTAATGCTGGACATCAGATCAGCTGGTGATATTCATAATTTACACAAAAAACGTTGAGAATATTAGTTACAAAAACATATAAGCAGATAAAACGTCTCCATCATATTTCTGCCTCTATAAATATAATGAGAAAAAATGTACACATCCCATCGGTAAAGTCACATACATGACTTTGGTCTTCACAGCATGGTATATGAATTGATAGAATCTATCGCATGCCCCCTTGCAGGATTTCATGGTCCAGACCAAGGCTCGCATCTCAGGCGAGTTCACCCGTATGAGGGCGACGCTGGATGAAGACGAGAAGGCAGCTCTGGATCGCGTGGACGTGAAGGGGCGTGAGCTGCTGTCCCAGATCAAGGAGAACATCGCTCATTACAAACGTGAGATCAGCGACCTCCAGGCAGCAGCCACGCGCCTGCGCGCTCTGCAGGAGGAGAGGGACTCGCTCACGTTCCTGCAGGTAGAGCACTCACGGAGCCAGGGCAAGTGCCCCAGTTCGCGTATATTCGTTGCTTTTTAACACGTTCCTTCGGAGTAGGCAGGTAGGAACTTGGTTGGACAGCGCATTCGTGCGATCCGTGTTGGATACCGTAGTCGTGTTGGAAGTTGTAGCTGTTACTATTGCATCAGATGATGATTGTTGATTTATTGGTGTAGGTCTTTAAGTTCATGTAGCTGTTGCAGCAGGTCGCGCCTGTGCTGTGACGCCGCCTCCTGCGTGTACCACGCGCGCCAATCCACCTGACCTGGTCCTTGAACGGCCACGATGTTGTCGTAATGGCGCACCAGGTGCATGATGTTGAGCAGGGCGTAGACGCCGCAGTCGTAGCCGTTCGGTTGTTGCGGCACAAGCACCGTGGTGATTGCCACGGTGGTGATCGCCACCGGCGTGCTCACCGATTCGGCGCGCACGACCCAGTCCACCACCGTGCTGGCGAAGGCAGCAATGTTTTTGTCGTTGCGCGACTGCCCGCACGCAGCCATTGAGTCTAACAGCATGGCAGTCGACCTTGGTGGGCACGTGGCGTTGACAATGACCAAGATCTGCCAGTGCGACTGGTAGTGGATCGGTATGATCCACACCGGCCTGGAAGACACGCCATCAAAGACGCAATTCAAGTCGTCGAGATGGCCCGCCAAGAAATGTGTGTACAGGAACGTGTTGAACAGGTGGACGTATGCCGCTCGCGGCAGGCAGTAGAACTGCCCGAACAGGTTGATGATGGTGTCGTTCAACCACTGGCCAGGTTGTAAGCAGCGGAAATCGTTCGGGAACAGCCTTCCGTACCCCGGAACGAAGACAACGTGTTCGACCGAGACAGGGCGCAGACAACGTGGAGTGACGCCGGGAGGAGGTGGGCTTGGTCTCCGCTTCACCGCCACAGCAGACTCTTGCGGCGTTGGCTCCTCCGGCTGCGACCGTTTCCCGTGCGGGACGAGTGGCTTGCGAGCCTGTGGTCCCGCGCGTGGTTGCCACATGCCGTTTTTGCCAATGTCCATTCGCCATTTCGTCGAATGTATATTTGGCCGCAACGTGCCCTTGGACAATCCCTTGTCCAGAAGGAACAAAGACGCGAAAACCGCCGAAATGAGGACGTCGTTCTCGTCCCACTCGACGATTGGGTCTTCGCCGCGTGAAACCACCGTGATAGGAGGGGGAACACGATCTCCGGCATTTTTGTCATCGGGGTGAATTATGTAGGAGAGATTGTTTGGGCAAGACCGCCACGTGAACAAGGTCACAGCCCGTGTTGCTGGCCGGCGACTCTGGCACGTCGTTGTTGACGTCGTCATCGTCGACGTGCGCATTCATTGCAGCGACGTCAACATCGTCATTGCAGATTGCGTCGTTCTCGATGGCGGCACCCTCCTCGTCCAGGCGTCGGCGCATTTCGGAAGAATTGTCGATGGTAATGCCGTCAAATCGCGGATGCTTGACCCCGGTCCAGAACTCGAGCCACTGGTACGCTCCGGTGACGTCGATGTTGTACATGTCGCGGAAACGAGCCTGCGCCTTCCGCCAGGCGTCGCGCGGCCCGAGAAAGGTCACCTGCGGGCGTTGCACCGGAGAAACCCGGGGCAGCACGTTGGCCACCTCGACAGGACCGTCTTGCATGAAACAAATGGCGTTACCCGTTGAGTGGCTGGCCCTTATCAAGATGTCAATATTGAAGGTTCGGGCGGGTAAAATCGCGTTGAGCGTCGTGCTGTTTACTTTGGGCAGCGACCCCCACCGACCACAGTCGTGCCCGTTGTAGAGGCTGAAGTCGTGATCGGCCGGATCCTTCGCACAGGTCGAGCACAGGACGACATTGTTGATGTCGGGCACGAGATCCGGATTGAGATGGTACCGGACGTCGTTCACGCGCAGCACGGAGACGTGCCGTTCAACGAGATGCTCTGGCAGGGTGCACTGCTCGGCGACTTGCTCATTGGTGAGGCGGAACACATTGGGAAGCTGTTCGACGGGGCCGGCGTCGACGATGGTCTTATTGGCCTCAAAGAGAAACTCATTTCACGACGCGCACGCCGCAATGCACCCCGTGCCGGGGTCTCGGGCAGCCGCACTGCGCTGACAGTGCACAGCGTCGTCGTGGCCTACCGTGCCGCCAATGGCTCGTAGAATCCGCTCACAGACCGCGGGTCCGTTAGGCCCATGCAGGCTCTCATCATTGAAAAGAAAGGCGTCGGG